GATGCTTTGCTTCAAGGCTGCAGCAGGAATGATACCCCTTGTTGTACTCAGCGGGCACTACTGCTTGCCGGCACAACCCATTGTGAGTGGCGCCATGCTACAATCATGCAACATGGTTGCGGCACAGTAGTCAGGCATTTAACGGTTTAAAAGAGGCGGTGAGGAGGCATTGTATCATGGTAAACCCTGTCAAATGCTCTCTGAAGAGCAATCTGAACGAAGATTGCTCTTCAGAGAGAAAAGCAAGTGTAAACAAGAACAGCACAAAGGAAGATGAAATCAGGCCAAAGTAGCAATGTGAAAATAAATCAGGGCCACAGAAGGAGCTTCTTTGGATTATTAAAGTGGAACTAAACTTACCTTGTCTTTATTGGTCCTTGTCCCTCTCTGGTATCTTCTGTGGGGTTCTGGTCTTTAGCCATCTTCACTGACTGGTGCAGGATGACGTCACTCCTGTGCATGCGCAGGAGTCAGTTATCCCTACATACAGGGACTGTGCAGATGATATAAGCTGAGCTGTGTATAAACAAGTCAGTTTACATGCCACAGAAGACAGTGGGCAGGGGGGTTGGTGTATTTTATTGCATAAGAAACAGTTCATGCCTCTTCTGCAAAAAAAGGGGGCTTTTTTTGCAGAAGAGGCATGAAGAGGGACATTTGTTCCACTTTAATCTAACAGTGAGCATCTTGTGGTGTTTGTGCTTTAAACTTTAAAACATTAGGATGGAGCAAAGGTTCTCTGATAATGGAGTAAAGGTTGGATGAAAAGTTTGCATCCAACCTGACTCAGAGGACATGTTCTACCTGCTGAGTCTCTGATTTTCATTCTGGTTTCTTTCTTCTGAGGGAACCCCCAGCTAAATCTTTTGGCCGCTGATACACTTTCTGAATTTGTACCTGTGAAAATGCAGCTAATGTGTTGCCTGGTTCACCCTCTTTGTCAGCTCACTGCAGCCCAGGCCACACACACTGAAGCAATAGAGGTAGGTTCCCCAGCACAGGATCATATAAAAAAAAAAAAGAGGCTGAAGTCATGCTAGGAGGCCCTGTAAAAAGCCTCTTAAATCACAATGCACCACATTATAACTTTGACTTCATTTGTTTATGTGGGTTTATTGATTCACTAGTAGGTTTGGTCTGGAGTCAGATTCTGTAATATCCGCACAGTCCTGAGTTATTTAATCCCTTCTTTACACAGTCAGCCATTCTGACCTGGATCCAGTCGCAGTAGGATTACGGACATCAGGAGGAGAGCCACCAGGACACGCTGGAACGGGATCCTGCGAACCCAGGTCACCACCACACTCAGTGCTCCATAGAGGAACCGCACCACGTGCTCTCGTCTTGCCTGCAAACGTTCTGCTGCTGCAAAACAAAGATCAGTGGGAAAGCCATTACCATCTGAAATTTACTTTTCCATATTGGTACCCCAGGCGTCCCATAGGCAGGCTTTGACTAGGTACACTGTGGGGGTTATTTACTAAAACTGGAGAGTGCAAAACCTGGTGCAGCTCTGCAGAGAAACCAATCAGCTTCCAGGTTTTATTGCCAAAGGTTAACGTGATATTAAATGCAAACTTTTTTTTTAAATAACAAACATTTCATAATTACCTGATCTGTATTGCACAGAGCAACCCCAAGCCTCCTCTTCTCAGATCCCCAACCAGTGCTCTTGGCCCCTCCCCCCAAGCAGATTGCTATGGGAGCACCCAAACAGACTCACTCCCGAGCCGCTGCTTGCATGTCCATTCACACACAAAGCCATGGCTCGGTCCCACTCCCTCTCTCTTGTCTCACTGGCTGAGATTGACTACCATGCACAGCTGCACCAGATTCTGATTGCACAGCTGTAGTAATTCTACCCGTTTCTTGTATCTAAATCTTGCAATATTCAAACGTGTTTGGGTACAAAGGCTGTATGCGACCTGCTTCTGCCTGCACAATTTTCAATAGAACAGAAACAAAGAAACACAAAACAATGCAGGCCAAATGTGAACAAATAGGGGCCATCCACTCTAAAATAAGAGTTAATAAACCACCTTTGTACCAACGTACATTTAAAAATGTCAAAACTGTAGATGTTATTGTAACCCACTGATACTTATAAACAGTAATGGATAAAGCAATAGTTGGCCATCACACACTGTGCACAGAACCAAACCAAGCAGCTCTGTATCTTGGGATTACTGTGACTGGTCACAGAGAGACCAATCACATCGATCACAGATGTAAACAGTAAAGTGTTTACATCTGTGAGAACACAGAACACCCCTTCTGCTTACAATGGAGGAAGGAGAGGAAAGAATCATTCACGATTCGTGACCACAGCACAATTTCTTCCTCCTTCTACATCTGATCTACAAGTACATCCTATAACTATGTAATCTGTATATTATCCCTTCATCTTCATCCTGCCCGCTGTGTATCCTGTATATTAACTACATCATCACCTCCTCCCTCTGTGTATGACCTGTGTGTGTTGTATTTCGTGCAGCATTACCTAGCTCCATGTTTTATCCACCTCAATACCAGCAGGTTTTTTCATTTCCAAAGCATTACGGCAAAAAAATGGGATCACCTCGGGGTGTCTACTTTACAAAAAGGTGTCAATTTTGGGAACGTTTGTACTGTCCTGGCATTTTTATGGTAACAGAAAATAAGGGAAACAGTTTTTCTTAACGTATTACCTTTTAGTTACAAGTGGTAACTAAACACCACCAAAAGATAGCTGTGTTTCAAAAAAATTATAAAATTTATTTGGGTACATCATTACATGACCGAGTAATTGTAAAACTATAACAGCACTGGAAACTGAAAATGGTAATGAAGGGGTATTACAGGCTGGTACTTAAGTGGTTAAAGCGACATTAAAGCTTCCTATTAAAATAACAAACATGTTATACTTACCTGCTCTGTGCAATGGTTTTGTGCAGAGCAGCACCAATCCTCTTCTTCTGGGGTCCCCTTTTAGCGCTCCAGGCTCCTTCTCTTTGGCGGATGCCCCATGGAAAACTTGTCCCTGCGCTGCAATCAATCTGCCCAGTGAGAAGGGAGACAGTGGTCAGAACCGCTGCTCTTTAGCACATCACTGGATCAGATCAGGCTCAGGTAATCATAAGGAGGGGCTGGGGGGGGGGGGGGGGGGGGGGGCAGAATTCAGCAGCACAGAAGGTTTTTCACCTTAAAGTATAACTAAAAGGCAAAACTTTTTTTTTAAAGTTTTGGATAGAATGGCTTTATAACCATTTGAAGTGTGTTTGTGAATGCACCCTGCCTGCAGTTATATGTGAGAACTTCATTGACCCTGGACTGAAGACTGGCTGCGTTCAGGACTGATCACTTGCATAAGATCGCTGCATGAGAAATTACAGTACATGGTAGTGGGTGTGATTTGCTGTGGGAGCCAGCAGTCTACAATTGCTTTCAATGGTGGGAATCCCTGCTGGGGTGCTTGCATATATTCGCATGCAGGGTGCATTCGCAAGTGTTAATGCACCCTGACAGTGAATTGAAATCTGCTGACCTGTCAGATGCAGAAACACAAAACCATCTTCAGCTTAGTGATACACTTGGCAATTCTGTAGCAGTTTGTTGTTCACAATTAATTGTATCAATTTTCAAAGCAAATTTGATCATCTGATCACATAAAGTGGCTGTAAGGGGCCATGCACACTGGCTTAAAAAAAAGCTGCTCCTAGAGGAGTTTAGTGTTTTGCCTGTAGAAGCAACTAATGTTATCCTATATGTCTATGCACATTAGTATGCTTAGGAGGAATATTTTAAGCTCAGAGTTTAGAGGCAGAAAAAACAACACCTGTTTTGCGTTTTTGAGAGCAGTTTTCTGGCAGAAATAAAACCCGCTAAACCCTGCTAACTACTCCTAAATGCTAGCACAAAAACCGCTCAGAATTAGCGTTTTGTTCTGCCAAGTGCACTGGCAATTTTTTTTAAGCCAGTGTACATGGACCCTTAAGGGTCATTTTTAAAAAAAAAAATAACAAATATGTTATACTTACCTGTTCTGTGCAATGGTTTTGCACAGAACTGCCCTGATCATTCTCTTCTAGGGTCCCTGTCGGCACTCTAGGCTCCTCGGATTTCCACCATAGGAAGCTGCTTCGTATTGTGGCACACCTGTAGGCTTGATCCCGAGCCACATTGCCTGTGCCCATAGACACAGACTGCTTAGTTTGGTTGTCAGGAACAGGAGTTAATGGCTCCAGCTGCTATCAATCTACCATGCGAGGAGGGAGAGAGCTGCTGCTCTCGTGCACAGCGCAGGATCAAGATCGGGTTCAGGTAAGTATAAAGGGGCTGGCAGAGGGAGCTGCATTCTCTGCATTAAGGTAAAAACCTTCTCCTTTAGTACCACTTTAAATCCAGTAAAAGGTTAAAGTGTATCTAAACCCAAAAAGAAAAATGTAATTTATCGCAGCTTAATAGACCCTGGACATGGTGACAGCATCAGTTTTCCTTCTTTTCCTTTTTTCACCTGGTGATCCTGCCAGTAACACACTTACCTTCCTAGGGTGACCGCACTCACTCAATGAACTGTATCCATGGAGAAGCAGTATTGTCCTAGGACAGGATTACAAATACACCTTCCCCTCTTCTCATTTCTGTAACATTGAGGAAACATGTTCTGTATGTAACTGACAAGAGTACACCACAGGCACGGAGTCCAGGAAGTAATCAGCTCATAGAAGATTTTTGGCAGGATTAACAGGTATTTTTTCACTTATTGGACATAACAAAACACTTTCAACTTTGCAATCATCTTTTTAACCGAAAGCTGCAGAAGAGCTTCACGTATTGCCAAGTATAGGGCCAGTACAGGTTGTTGTATTCAGTTCAGTTATAGGCGGGCTACCAGAAGTTCCAGATGTCTGCGTTACCTAATAACCTCCCAAATATGGAGGGCGAAAATGAGAATTTGATTGGCTGCTATGGATAATACAAACAGTTCCTCCTTCAGACAGTGATACAACAGGGAAGGCCTGTCAATTGGCAGAGGAAGAGATGCTCATACCTGGAGGATGGTCTGGCTCCCCTGGACTCTCACGCTCGGTCTCTTCCTCCACCCGCTTTAAACGCCTCCTTTCTTCAGCTACGGCTGTGAGGGCCACTTCCTGTTGCTGCGTGGTGAATGCTCTGGGATCCTGTGCCAGCTCCTCAGCCTCTGAGAAGTGACCAAGGGGGAGCAAAATACGCAGGAGATAAAGTTCTGCCACTACTCGGTACCCTGGCATGAGCTGGTTCTTGGGATCGCTCAGCCAATCACGGCTCAGTTCTAGCATCACATGGGGCTGCTTCACACTGCTGTAAAGGAGGAGGCTACAGAGAAACAAAATGTTTGATTATATGCGAATATCCCACAGAAGCAATCCCCAGAGGAAACTTGGGAGCAAAGAACTCTCAGCTGCATCACATATCACTCATCATAGACTCCCAGGTGAAACTAAGTTTTGAAAAATCTGCTTTTAAAATTGACCTGTTGTCAGAGTACAGAATATGATGTCTGACAGTGATGTATTTCTGAATATAGGGCTGCCTACATTTGCCTGAAGTTCAGATTTAAGCTCCACAGGAGAGCCTGGGGGCTGTGTGACGACTGAGCCCCAATCTGTTTTCAGGACTCCTGGGAAAGACTTGGTAGGATGGAGCTGAAAAAAGGGATCTCCCACCAACCTGCCCTTCATTTCAGACATCACTCAGCCCTGGTCGAGTTCACCAGATGAGAGCTTTTAACCAGTAAACAGTCATTTCAAAATAAAAAGTGGAACCCATCTCCAGGAAAAATATTTTATGTAATTTTACATGAAGGGGGGGGGGGGTGAATATCCTATGTTAGAATTTTATTGCCATCTGTGTTCTTATTGGGGAAATTTCCTGTCAAGACAGGAAGTGATGGGTAATTTCTCCAGAAGGAGCACAGAGAAAAATAAAAATTTTTAGGTCTCAGGCACATAGACCAGGTTGGGGGCAAATGAAGTATAACTAAGGGTTAAATAGAAATTAATTTAGTAAAAAAATTAGATATTACACACACACTATATTGCCAAATGTATTTGTCAGCCTGCCTTTACACACACATGAACTTTAATGGCATCCCAGTCTTAGTCTGTAGGGTTCAATATTGAGTTGGCCCACCCTTAACAGCTTCAGTTCTTCTGGGAAGGCTGTCCACAAGGTTTAGGAGTGTATCTATGGGAATGTTTGACCATTCTTCCAGAAGCGCAAGGGCACTGATGTCGGACGAGAAGGCCTGGTTCGCAGTCTCCACTCTAATTCATCCTAAAGGTGTTCTATGGGGTTGAGACCAGGACTCTGTGCAGGCCAGTCAAGTTCCTCCACCCCAAACTTGCTCATCCATATCTCTATGGACCTTGCTTAGTGCATTGGTGCACAATGCTGTTGGATCAAGAAGGGGACATCCCCAAACTGTTCCCACAAAGTTGGGAGCACAAAATTGTCCAAAATGTCTTGGTATGCTGATGCCTTTCCTTCACTGGAACTAAGGGGCCAAGCCCAACTCCTGAAAAACAACCCCACACCATAATCCCCCCCACCAAACTTTACACTTGGCACAATGCAGTCAGGCAAGCACCATTCTCCTGGCAACTGCCAAACCCAGACACATCCATCGGATTACCAGAGAGAGAAGCATTATTTGTCACTCCGGAGAACACATCTCCACTGCTCTAGAGTCCAGTGGCGGCGTGCTTTACACCATTGCATCCAACGCTTTGCATTGCACTTGGTGATGTAAGGCTTGGATGCAACTGCTCGGCCATGGAAATCCATTCCATGAAGCTCTCTACACACTGTTGTTGTGCTAATCTGAAGGCCATGTGAAGTTTGGAGGTCTTTAGCTATTGACTCTGTAGACAGACTTCTGTGCGTGCGCTTCAGCTGTGCACCCCGCTCTGTCATTTTACGTGGCCTACCACTTCGAGGCTGACTTGCTGTTGTTCCCAGTTGCTTTCACTTTGTTATAATACCACTAACAGTTGACCGTGGAATTTTTAGTAGCCAGGAAATGTCACGGATGGACTTATTGCACAGGTGGCAACCTATCACGGTACTACGCTTGAATTCACTGAGCTCCTGAGAGCGAGCCATTCTTTCACAATGTTTTGTAGAAGCAGTCTGCATGCCTAGGTGCTTGATTTTATACACCTGTGGCCATGGAAGTGATTGGAACACCTGAATCCAATGATTTGGATATATATATATATATCTCAGTATATAAACTCTTATTTTTAAAACTGATGTCATATGCAGAACACAGGTCACACCTTCAATCTATATATGGATGAAATAGTAAACTCAATTAAAGAATACATCAATATATTAGATTTACTCAATGACACCTGCAGACTATCTGAAAGTGTCATTGTACACAGCCGCTTCTGCTGTACAATACAAAGCAGTTGCCAGTAATATAGACAATAGGAGTGTCAGGGGGAAAGGAGATAGAGAAAAGATGTGACTTAAAAACTATTGAGATTTTTTTCAGATTTATCTTTTTGTGTCTGCAGTAATCCCCACTAGCACAATACGGTTGTCAGTGGCCGTTATACAGAGAATTTCTTTTGTCAGACGACCATTACCCACAACTCCATGATGTTGTGTGGCATCTCCTGTGCGCTCTGGTAATACTGGAAGAGCCAGGGCAGGACCTCCCTCCATTGCTCCATCTCCGCCAGGGCCTGAATCCCGATCACACACAGTGAGGCCTTCACTTGTTCATTCCTGAAGGGACAACACATTGATCAGTCCATTCATCTCACTCACCAGAGGTTCATTGTGAATTATGCAGTTTTATTAACTAAATATTTATGTGGTTATAAGCATTACAAAAGGCCATCTATGATCTGCATGAAGGCTAGAAAACTGTGCACAAAGGACCACATCAACCATGGCAGTCTCAGGAAGATTTTACTAATCCTGCATCAATTTAGGGTAGAGAATATCCAGAAAAGTTCTATAACAAATTAACATAGTCATGTAAATCCTGGTGTCTATACAGTTCCTGGTTGTGTTCACAAATCTCTGATACAGATCAGTCCCTGCAGCAGTTGCTCTCCTTGTGAGTTGCTTTAAAGTTGCAAAATTACAGTCTGATCACTTGGGGGAAAAGAGACTGAGGAAATGCTTCCTTCTGCTTGCAGCAGACTGATGACATCATCTTAGTCTAGGCTAAACTGGAGCTCAGGTACAGCTTTTTAATGATAAAACAGGAAAATAATGTATGGTGAGCCACCAGCCCACACTTATAAGTCATCATAGACTGAGGATTCGTCAGCACTGATCACTGCAAGTAGAATCTAAGGTTCTCCTTCCATCAAACAAAAACTATCCTACATATGCTTTTGTTTTGTCGCTAGAAAAAATAATTTTGCTGAATTGCAAAAATACTAATCCACCTTCCATACAAAACTTTGTAGGACTGGATGTGTGTATGCATTTGTGTTTTTGAACCCAACTTGTTCATTTCAGCACTGTCTAAATTTGGGTTCTGCATAGCACTAATATTTTTTTGGTTCGTTCTGTGTACAATTTATTCTGTCGCTCCATTATTGGGGCTCCTGATTACCTGTGTGTCTATTTTAACTTTTGTTAAAATGCTAAATAAACACCTCTTAAAAAATAAAAACAAAAAAAACCCCACAACTATCGACACAACAGCACTGATTTAGGTCGTTAAAGTGGAACTGGTAAAACAGCTACACCTACAGCCCAAATCTACACTACTATAACATTTTTGTGATTCCGTTCAGCCAGTCCTGTAATCTTCATGCACTGCAAAGCCAGGACAACAATATTAATGACAACTATATATCCCATGTGATCCGTCTGCTACTAGGACTATGAGAATGCATACCGTCTAACACTTCTTTTGCCCCCAGTGTCTGAAACATGTTAGTATGACAGTGCTGCATGAGACAGTACAACCAGACTGGCTCAGAGCATAGAAACCATCCACCACCCCCAGACTGATTTCTGCTATGCTAGGGATTGAGAGAATATAATATGAAGACACATTTCAGGCTCTTATACTTGTAGTATTTTTAGGTGGTGATAATTAAATAGATTTGTTTTAAAATAAAATACAACTGAAATGAAATATTTGTATCTATCCATTCTGAGATACATTTTATGTGTCCGATTCCCAGTATCACTCGCCCCTACTTTTCTCAGATGTACTCAGGTACAGCCCATGGTTTTTGATTCATCAGTTATGTAGGCAGGGTTTAATGTGTACCTAAAGCCAAAAATGTCTTATCAGTTTTGGGTGGGGTTTGTTTTTCTGGGTTGGGGAGTGGGTGGAGCTTGTGTTTCTGCACCAGGGAATGGGCATGGTTTGTCTTTGTGTCAGAGTGGGCGTAGTTTATTTTAGGGTCAGACTGTGGGTGTGGTTTGTTTTTGAGTCAGAGTGGGCGTGGTTTGTTTTTGCACTACATAAAAAACAAACGAGGGTGCAAATGCCTTGCGCATCATCCTTTACGTCTTATTAAAGTGTATTATAACGTGTAAGGGATAATGCACTAGGCGTTTGCGCCCTCTTTTGTTTTTTATGTAACGAACAGTGTTGAATTCCCTCATCTGAAGGAGGGCTGCACCACCATCTTTTTGCAGTCCCGGTTGTACAAGAATACGTGACACATTGTTATGTGATGAGTGCCTATATCTACTTCTGAGCGCTAAAGTTTGAACCTTTTTCCTTAAATATGTGGTTTGTTTTTGGGTCAGGGAATGGGCGTGGTTTGTTTTGGGGTCAGGGAGTGGGCATGGTTTGTTTTGGGGTCAGGGAGTGGGCATGGTTTGTTTTGGGGTCAGGGAGTGGGCATGGTTTGTTTTGGGGTCAGAGAGTGGGTGTATTTTGTTTTTGGGTCAGGGAGTGGGTGTGGTTTGTTTTGGATCAGAGTGGGTGTAGTTTGTTTTTTGGTCAGGGAGTGAGAGTGGTTTGTTTTGGATCAGAGTGGGTGTAGTTTGTTTTTTGGTCAGGGAGTGAGAGTGGTTTGTTTTGGATTAGAGTGGGTGTAGTTTGTTTTTAGGTCAGAGAGTGGGCGTGGTTTGTTTAGGGGTCAGAGAGTGGGTGAAGTTTTTTTTTTGGACCAGAGAGTGGGCATGGTTTGTTTTGGACCAGAGAGTGGGCATGGTTTGTTTTGGATCAGAGAGTGGGCATGGTTTGTTCAGGGTCAGAGAGTGCGTGTAGTTTGTTTTTGAGTCATGGAGTGGTCGTGGTCTGATTTTGGATTAGAGTAGGCATGGTTTATTTTGGGGTCATGTAGTGTCCATGGCTTGTTTTTGGGTCAGGAAGTGGGCGTGGTTTGTTTTGGGTCAGGGAATGGGCGTGGTTTGTTTTGGGTCATGGAGTAGGTGTGGTTTGTTTTGGGTCAGGAAGTGGGCGTGGTTTGTTTTGGGCCAGGGAGTGGGCGTGGTTTGTTTTGGGTCAGGGAGTGGACGTGGTATGTTTTGGGTCAGGGAGTAGGCGTGGTTTGTTTTGGGTCATGAAGTGGCCGTGGCTTGTTTTGGGTCATGGAGTGGCTGTGGTTTGTTTTTTAAACAGAGTGGGTATGGTTTGTTTTTGGGTCAGAAAGTACGCATGGTTTGTTATTGAAAGTGGGCGGAGTTTGCTTTTCATAGACATATAACAGATACACTCACTTTGTGTCTCCAGCCTCTGCCGATAGGATCTGCAGGCCTCTATCACAGAGCTTCAACGCTCCAGCAAAGTTCCTTTCTAGCACCAGAAGGTCAGCTGCGGCATCTAACAGACACACAGTTGGCGGCGTCCCTGACAGTGACAGATGCGACCAATCCCACATGGCGCTCAGGGAGCAGCTAGACACGTTCTCTGTCACCGCCATTGCAGAGGAGCCAACATCGACAGGGGACCCTAAGAACCAAGACATGGTGGTCAGGACAAATAATCAGAAACTGCGAGCAGATAAATGAGGATTACTTTGAGCAAGGCAGAGAAAGAGATCTGTATTAGGACAGCACCTTAGCCTGGGTTCAGACCTTTGATTGTCAGAAACACACGTGATACAGAGCTCTTTTTTGACATGTAAAGAAACGTGCTGCCATTTAGCAGACGTGCAGTGGTGCCATGATTGTTAAGGGCACCCTAGGCATCTGCAGACGTAACATCATGTGGTCAAGCTTGGTGTGTTTTTGGAAAATAATCTGAGACTTCTTTCTGTGTTTCTTACATGTATGGCAGCCCACTGAAATGAATGGGCTGCCCGACTTGTGGAAATGCGCCCACGCTTGGTTGCACCTGTAGGTGTGAAAAGTCTTACACTCTGATGTACAATCACACGCAAACACAGAAAATAATCTAGATTTTTACATCTCTCCTTGTGCCTGCGACACACCTTACAATCTGGTTGTCCAACCTTCAAAATGACCAAAACTAGAGCCTGCCTAAACAATCCCAATGAACTTGAATCCTTTCAGACAGTCCCTTGCATGACATAGTTGTTGGTCAATCCATAGAAGATTGTAAGGCGTGTGGACTTTAAAGAGACATATTTTAAATAAAAGGTGAACACCCCCCAGCAACCTAAATACACAGGTTATGTGTCACGTATTGCCTGCGCTCTCTGCTCTGTTACAGGACCGCATTGCATGGGAGGGGTGACAACACTTTTTAAAGGTGCAGCTCTGCAGAGCGTGTCACTGCCCAGTCTTATGTCTGCTCAAAAGTATTGTCAAGTATTGACACAGTGGTGCTGCCCCCCCTGAGCGCTCCCTTTAATTCTAAGGACCTCCCCTTTCTGCCCACCATCTTTCACAGCAGTCACTCCCACTGCAAGCCTGATTTTAGCTCTCGTCAGTAGTGTAGCAACTCAGTAGAATAGATTTACACTGATGTGCATCAGCCAAAGATTTACATTTTGCAGTGGTTTTATATGCCTAATGTTGAAATGTCTCCGGTGTGGACACCGACAAGCACAAAGGTTGATTTTTAGAAGAGTGTGGAAGGATTACACCCCCGTCAGGTTATTATTGCTGTCTGTGTCCACACTGGGAAGATCCACCCTATTTGCCACTGAGACAAAAAGTGATGGGAAAAAATATTTACATTTGTCACCAGAACAGGAAGTGAAGGGAAACCAGTCAGTAGAGACACCTGTTCCAGTGACAGCTAAGAGGGGATTTCCCTCATTTCCTGAAGAGAAATCTGCACTACTTCCAGTGTCACCCATGTATTTTCCCATAAGGCCCCTGTGATAACCACATCGTGTTCAGCAAGTTCTGGGGTTACTTTAAGAGATTGTAGGAAAAAAACAACTTTTTTTTTTTTAAATAACAAACATGTCATACTTACCTGCTCTGTGTAATGGTTTTGCACAGAGCAGCCCGGATCCGCCTCTTCTTCGGTCCCCCGCTGCTGTTGCCTCCTACCACTTGCTATGGGGGTACTCCTGAGCCAGCTCTGTGTGTTCATAAACACAAACAGCACAGTTCGGCCTGCCCCTCCCCTCCCCCCTTCAATCTATAGAATTCATCAACCACTTCCCTACCACCCTATAGCAGAACTACTGCTACAGGGCAGCACAAAATCACGTGTATATATATATATATAATATATGTGATTTTGCATTTCTGGGTAGGGGGCACATGCGTGCGCCGCCCTACCCGTGCCACCATTGGCGGCTTCAGATGTTGATCATTGGGTCCCGGATGGAGATTCCTCTTCAGCACCTGCCGATCATCACTGACAGGGGAGAGGTCTGTGTGTAAACACAGGTCTCTCTCTCCTGCCAGCAGTAACATGCTGCTGTGTATTTCTCTGCACATCAGAGAAATACACAGCAGCATGTTTCCCTAGTAAGACAGCACACAGTTAACCCTTTGATCACCCCAGATGTTAACCCCTTCCTGCCCAGTGTCATTAGCACAGTTTCAGTGCTTTTTATTAGGGGGAAATCAGTGACAGTTAGTCAGTTCCCCACTCAGTGTCAGAATGCCTGCTGCAGTCCCGCAATAAATTGCTGATTGCCGCCATTAGTAGTATAAAAAAAAATAAAAATATAAATTCCAGTATACATACCGCCATTTGTAGACGCTAATAACTTTCATGTAAACCATTTCAGTCTGCCTGGCAGTACTAGGGTCACCGGTTCAAATCCCAACCATGGCACCACCTGCCCGGAGTTTGCATGTTCTCCCTGTGCCTGCGTGGGTTTCCTCCCACACTCCAAAGACATGCTGGTAGGTTAACCGTTTCAATACCGTGCAATTTTACACCTTCCTGCCCAGGCCATTTTTCAGGTTTCAGCGCTCTCACACTTTGAATGACAATTGCGCGGTCATACAACATTGTACCCAAACTAAAATTTTATCATTTTCTTCACACAACTAGAGCTTCTTTTGGTGGTATTTAATCACCGCTGGGGTTTTTATTTTTTGCTAAATTAAAAAAAAAAGACCAAAATTTTAAAAAAAAAAACACGTTTTTCTTTGTTTCTGTTATAAAGGTTTACAAATAAATAATTGTTCTTCATAAATTTAGGCCGAGATGTATTCTGCTACATGTCTTTTGTGAAAATAACCCAAATTAGGATGTATTTTTTAGTTTGTAGGAAAGTTATAGAGTTCACAAACTGTGGTATAGATCTGAAAATTGATCAATCCTGAAGTACTGACAGCCAATCTCATTTCTTGAGGTCCAAGAATGTCAGAATAGTACAGATATCCCCCAAATGACCCCTTTTTGCAGAGTAGACAGTCCGACGTACTTCATAAGAGGCATGGCGAGTTTTTTGAAGTTGTATTTTTTTGTCATAATTTTTCGGAAAATGAAAAAATTAAAAAAATTATTTTCACTATTTTTTTTTTACATACTGTCACCAGTGCAGTACAGCGTCATCATATAACTGGCATGGTGGTGAACAGGGACACTGACTGGTGACAGTATGAAAAAAAAAATATATATATTTTTTTAAAAATTTTTTATTATATTTAATTTTTTTATTACATTTTTTATTTATTTTTTTTTAAGATTTTTTTTTCATATTTTACTATGGAGTAGTACAATGTTACCATAGTAACATTGTACTACTTTGGGGAAGTGATCAGTATTTTTTTTTTTTACACAATTTGCTTATAGCAAAGAATTACTTTGCTATAAGCAAGCATTTACCTGAATGAAATCGATTCATTCAGCTTTTTTTTTTTTTTTTTTTTTTGTGCTTAGCTGTGATTTGGTCACAGCTAGTCACATGACATGTGCATGTGATTAGCTGTGACCATTCACAGCTAGGCACTAGTATACAATGGATGGCATCATGAATGAAGCCATCCATTGTATACAACTGTCATGTGACCTGCTGTGATTGGTCACAGCAGGTCACATGGTACCAGCAACGGGAGCTGGTACTCGGATCTGTCATCGGCCGTGTCCGAGGTGCACGGCCGGTGACAGATCGCACTGCTGCACCGCTCTGCATTAGCGCAAACTGCAAATGGTGTGCACCCGGAGTGCAGAGACACTTTTGAAGCCGCCAAACGGCCATTGGCCGGGCGGCTAATGGTTAATTGGCTCCTGTCTAAATAGTCCCTAGTATGTGTATGTATGAATGAATGTGAGTTAGGGACCTTAGATTGTACGCCCCTTGATGGTTAGGGACTGATGAATGCACAATATATATCTAAAAGCGCTATGTAAATTGATAGCGCTATATAAGTACCTGAAATAAATAAATTTACACGTATTGGGATTTTTTTTAGCAGAGATGTAGCAGAATACATTTTGGCGTACATTTATGAAGAACTTTGATTTTTAAAATTTTTTTACTGGACGTTTTATGGCAAAAAGTCACAAATATTTTTTATTTTTCAAAATTGTTGGTCTTTTTTTGTTTATAGTGCAAAAAATAAAAAATGCAACCAAATACCACTGAAAGAAGGCTCAATTTGTGGGAAAATACAAATTTCATTTGAGTGCAGCGCTGCATGACCATGCAATTGTCAGCGCCATATCACAAAACATGGCCTGGTCAGGAAGGGGGGTAGATCCTCAGGAGGCCAAGTGGTTAAGGTAAGAACCTGCCTCTAGAACCACTTTAAGGGCTCATTCACACCATGAGGGGCGTCCAAGCCTGCTCACTTTTTTGCACGTGTCCATGCATGGTCCTTAGGGCAGTCATTCATTTCAGTTGGCTGTCCTGTGTGAAACTGGTGCAGATATGATTCTTGAAGTTGCATCGCACCAACCCGCACAGTACTGGCGCACCATACGCTCAGGCGGCTGCAGACATGCACATTTGGTAGGCAGGATTTGACACCATTAGGAATGAATGGCACCCACACATGACAATTGCATGAGGCGGCACGTTACTGCTGTGTGGGAAAATCCTGCACACATTCCACCAGACCTGACAGACAACCGCAGAGGGTCACAATGGGGACTGCGAACTCCCACCTCCACAAAACAGGGAGGGAGCAGGGGCGGACTGACCATTTGGAAACTTGGGCACTGCCTGAGGTCAGTAGGGGGCGCCGTGAAATGCCCCTGGTACATTTTTCATAGACTTTTTTGAGTTTGGGCAAGGACACAGGGGCCCCATGATCCCCTATTGCCCAGGGGCCCCATGAGTTGTCAGTCCGCCCCTGGGAGGGAGCTTCAGGTGTGACACCCTATTGTAGATCTACAAGTCCCAGCACACCCACCCTGCCCCCATTATGCTTCAGGTTTAGGAACCCAACTCCCAGCATGCTCTACAGCACAGGACTGCCATGCAGCTCTGCACTCCCAGCAGACACCGCGCCCCCAGCCAGTCTCCCATACTGGGATTTGCAGTCCCTCAGCCCCTCCCACACACACCTGGGTGAGACGAGGGTCTTCAGGAAGTACCGG